ATGTATTTCTATGCACCACTTGTATGTAATACCCATGAAGGCCAGAAGAGGGCATTAAATCCCTGGGAACTGGAGTTGCAGATGGTTGTGCCCTGACATATGGGTGCTGGGACTCAAACTGTAGTTTTCTGCAAGAGTAGCCACTGCTCTTAACCACTGAGTCACCTCTCCAGCCCCAAATGCATTACTTTTTAAAGGAATTAAAAGTATTAAACATTTCTAACAATTAATATTGCTTGATATAAATCTTGTGACCAAAATCTCAGTGGACTCATTAGTTATTTTTAAATTTAGTAAAGGTATTCTGAGATGAACTGCCTAAGAACCAATTGTCTAAAGAAATCTCTCAGCAAATCCACTTTCCTGGAGGTTGACATACGGAGTCAGTGTTTGCAGTGGTTAGATTCATGGGGGTTTGCATTGCTTAGATTCATAGGGTCTAGCATCCTTTGAGTCAGTGTGAGGTAGCTTTTAGGAGGTTTCCATTGGGTCTATGATGGGCCATTTTCCATGTTCTGTCTCCAGTGTCCCATGCCAAGGTTACAGAATCTTCTAGGTTCTTTTCTGGGCTTCTAACCTCAGCTACTGAAGATGGAACATTTTACCACAGTTACATGATGCTTGTTCTTTATGGAGATGAGGCTTTCATCCCCCAACATGCTCAAAGGCAATCAAGCTGCTATGTGACTGTTTCTCACCTTTCTGGAAATGAAGAACATATCCTGTCCCCTTTTCTCCCCTACAGGAAGCCACACCAAGCCAACTTCTCAGTCTGGATGTGCTCTCAAGGCCACATATGTGATTTCCCCCCTCCAAAGCCTGAACGTCCTTAGTATTCTCAGAGATAATAGTGCTAAACCCATCAGTCATTATTTTCTTGTCCTCAATTTTCTTTTTTGGCTTCTAATCCTGAGTCCCTTCGATTCCTTCCCACGGAGGCTTAAGTGGCCCCATTTAGAACCAATTTTCAGCTAATATTTGATGCATTCTTTCAAAATAACCCAACCATTTTTGCTCTACAGGCTTTGTGCCTTTGGATTACATAACACCAGAGGCCTGGAAATGGATTAAAATGATGGGGTTGCTTTTTGCGTGTAAGGGTGTGTTTGTTTCATCATTTTGGGGGACAAATGGAGACATCTTTAGAAACTGGTAAAAGACGTTTGTTTGTGAAGGGCTAATTTAAGGATGTAGTTTAGTCATTACTAGAGAGAAAGGCATAGCTCTCTCTGTTTCTCCCAGCACACCAAGTCTTAAGGTTCAGAGTAAGGGTGGTTGACGGTGGGTGGGTGAGGGTGGGCTGCATGAGTCAAGAAGGCGTAGGTTCTTCTGGAGGTTCCTTCCTTCTAAACTCTCTGGGGTACCTTATCTCCATTCCTGTAAGCTGATCCAGCTCATGTGGATAGGATACATGAACCAGGCAAAGCTGCTTCTTCTTCCTCTTCCTCTTCCTCTTCCTCTTCCTCTTCCTCTTCCTCTTCCTCTTCCTCTTCCTCTTCTTCTTCTTCTTCTTCTTCTTCTTCTTCTTCTCGCCTCCTCCTCCTTCTAGTTTTTTTTTTTTTAAAGAGATTTTAATTCCTGCTTGACAGGCTAGACCAAAGCCCATGAGTGACAATAGCTTTGTTTTTCTTTTATAAAGGAGAAAGCCACAGTGCACCTGGTATTTTATTGAATGATAGACAGACAGGCACGCGCACGCACGCACGCACGCACGCACGCACGCATGCATACACAAACACACACACACACACACACACACACACACACACACACACACACCTGAAAAAGAGGAAGAAAAACATTTAAAAAAATAAGCTTTTAAGTACACAGCTTGGTTACCAGGAGCCATGATTTTATGAAGATAGATCCACCATTTTTGACCTGTCTGAAGCCTGTTTATTTCCCTAACCTATTTTAAGTCTTTAAACATTTTTACCTGTTGTCTCCCTTTCCACACAATTATTTGGTTTTATTTGTTTGTTTTCTTCTTCTTTTTTTCCTTTTTTTCTTCTACTCAAATTTCATTCCTAATTAGCTTCTGTAAGTCAAAGTATCAAAATATGGCATTTTATATGATGCAAATTACCTCTCACACCATGATGTTTGACTAAACTGACTGTCTTCAATCTCCCGGAGGTGGGGTCTTGGGAGTTCGTTAGGGCTGTTGGTGGCTTTTGAGTTGGTTGGTTGGGGAGTTCGTGGGAGCTAGAAACTTGGCTCACCCTTAGTGCTTGTGTGAAGTGCAATCCAAAGGAGCAGAGAGTTAAATGATGCTTAAGGGTTCCTTGCAAATATGCAGTGAGCTCCCATTTATGCTGGAGTCAGTTCGGGAAGCTATGATGAAGTGCCTTAGGCTTAGGACGAGAGGCCTGTAGATTTGAGTCATCCGGAACCCAGAAGACAATGATGAAGGTACATGGTCTACATCTGGTAGAGATACTCCCATCGCTTGTAGGCTGCCAGTTGTTGTCAGTTGTTGTTGTTGTTGTTGTTTTTTTTAATATCCAAACATAGTTGTAAGTGAGGGCGAGAGGCCCTTGGCACTGGTTCTGTTCATGAGGGCTGCCCTCATGACCTAATCACTTCCCAAAGCCCGCACCTCTGGATACCAGCACATCTGTGGGGTAGAATTTCAACATGTATCTATAGCAATGACCCCAACAGACTTCAAGCTGTTCTCCTTCCTGTTTGGAAGAGTGGCTAGAGGTTTGGAGTTAATAACAATGACTCTGAGAAGCCAGGCATGGTGCCTCATACCTTTAATCCTATCACTTGGAAGGCAGAGGCAAGCAGATCTCTCTGAGTTCAGGCCAGTCTGGGGTGAGATGGAATCTTGATGTAAATTTCATTTGCATTTTCTTGATGGCTAAGGATGTTGAACATTTTCTTAATTCATGTATTTATTGACAATTTGGTCATTTTATTTGCCTCCTTGTTTAGTAGATTTTTTTTTTTGTATATTCTAGACATGAACTCCCCTCAGATGGCTAGCTAGCCAAGTTCTCAGTCTGTGGGGGGGGTCTCTTCACTCAGTTGTTTTCTTTTCTGTACGGCACCTTTTTGATTTCATGTGCTGCTATTTATCAATTATTGGAGTTATTTCCTGAGCCATGGAGTTCTTTTGAAGCCTCTTACCTTTGGCCATATCTTGAGGTGTTTCCCTCCAAGAGGTCTGGGATTTTAAGTCGTACATTACAGTACTTGATGCACTTTGAATTCATCTTTTGTATGGGATGAGAGGAATGGAGCCTCTCATTCTTCTGCTTTCAGACCTGTGGTCTTCCCAGGAACATTTGCTGAAGATGCTCTCTCTTTTTCTCCAGTGTATATTTTTTTTCACCTTTTCCAAAAGTTAGATGGCTGTGGGTGCACGGTTGTATCTCTGGATTCTCAGGTCCATGCCTCTGCTTTCTGCGTCTGTTTTTGCACCCGTGTTGTTTTTGTTGCTATGTTGTGTAGTCAGGTTTTAAATGGGGTGTTATGGTAGAATGCTGTTCACTTTGCTCAGGATTGCCTTAGCAGCTCCGTGCTTTCATGGGACTGAAGCTCAACATTGCTTCTCCAGCTTTGTGAAGAACGGCTTGGCGATTGCTGAACTCTATAGACAGTTTGCAATAGTATTGCGGTTTTCATAACATTAGCTCGGCCAGGCCAGCAGCACGGGAGGTCAGTTTTCTTCTGCTGTCTTCATCTCCTCCTTCTGTATTTTCAAGCTTGCATGTAGAGGTCTATATCTGTAAATGGTTTATTCTGTTTTTTGGGGGGGACTCTAGTAACCCACCATCATATTCCTGACTTTTCAGTCTATTCTGTTCCAAGGGACCTCCAGTTAAGTCAGCGACACATCACATTTCACTTATATCGAGTGGTAAGCATTATGCATTTTCATTAATTTATTCTCTGCTCCTTTCTTAGGAAGATATGCAGGGACAAACTGAATTCTCTCTCATCCTAGTAAATGCTGAATTGTCAAGGATATATAAGCATTAACAAAGTATAAAATGAAAGGAGACACCAATTGGCGGTGGGAGGTGAGATTTCAACCAGAGCCCAGAAGAATGAGCCATGAAAGATTAACTAGAAAGAAGAAAATGTGGACTATGTGTTTTCTTTTTTCAGCAATGCAAGGTTTCGGGATCATCAGCACATTTATGCCCATAGTTATGGTGTTGGAGTTCGGAAACATCCCAATGTGTACACAGTAACTGGCACTCTGCCTCAACTCCTGTGTTTCCTCTCCAGGATTCCATCTCCATTTACTGTCTAACCCTGACTAGATAGCATTCTAAATCTTGGGACACATTTGTGTACTTAGAGAAGTACCATAAAAATAAGAGTAAAACACTTAGGATTCTCCATAACCCTTTGGTTTCAAGATATACTCACATATTTCGTTTTACAGGTGATGTCAAGATGTTCAATCAGTTATTCAGAACTCAGTCAGACTCCCTGTGGACAACCATATTCCAACTTTATCCTTTACCAGCTGTTTTATTTTAGAGAGGAGGTCTAGGTTGTAGCCTAGGTTGGCCTTGAACTTGCAATCCTATGTCACTCAGCCTTCTAACTGCTGGGGTTACAGGTGTGGCATTGAAAAAAGAAATAAATGAGATTGTGAATGGTATCTCTTCCACACAAGCCTTATTAGCTAGTGTCTAATGTATGGAAATCACATTTTAAAGTCTTGTTGTACTCTTGGCTCTCACCCATGGAGGCCTCATCCACGATCACCTGCCTGAAAGTATAGATAGCGCTTGATAAGTCCTACACACACACACACACACACACACACACACACACACACACGCATGTATGATTAGGCACACTAAAGATCACAACTTAATACATTAGAACAATTAGGTTATGAACTCTTTCTAGAATTTTGATCCACAACATGGACCAAAGCTTCAGAAGGTTAGTGTATGGCTATGGGGCACCACTGTATATACATGATTCAGTTGTAATTCAGGCGATAATGAAACAGTGACTGTTCTTTACAGGTGGAGCAATCTTGGGGAGTCCATCCACTATTTGTGGATCTCTGTTTGTGGATGTGGATGTTTTGACCTTTTCAGCCTCAGACTTGGTGTCAGTATTACCAGCTGAAGGTAAGAGCTTATTCTGTTTATTTCAATGTGTATTACTGGTTTCTGAAGCACAGAAAAAAAAAATGTGTGCTCTGAAACATACAACCTACTGAATAGATTTACTTTGGGTGTGCATGCACAGTGCTGGTCAGCAGACTCAGGCCTACCTGATGGCTTAGCAGGTGGCCTACAGCTGAGTGACACCCCCAGCCCAGAGTTCTGGTTTCTTAACGTTGATAAAAATCATTATGAAATACAAATTTACAAGGAATGGGAGAAATATACATTGCAATGAATTTTAATACTGTTGAAATCTTCATAATAGGTATCTTTGTATCCACTTCCAATGTTTACAGTGCTTGCACTATTGTAAAGCAGGAGGAAAACAAACCTAAGAGGTAGCCAGCCCACTGTAGGACTGCAGGAGCTGATAAACTATAGGAAAACATTGGAAAATGCAAACATTGCTTTAAAAAGCAACAGGAAATGAGCCTGGATTTGCTCACCTCCTAAGAATTCAAGGAGCCAAGGGACTGACTGGGGGTGGGGTCCCTCCTAAGACACCCCTTTTCTGTTTGTGCCCAAGTAAATTGTTCCCCAGTGTTTGACATGGAAAGCATTTTTGCAAAGGGGGGATGTGAGAAGTTTCCAAGTGTGTTTTATTTTCCAGTTTTTCCCCTCTCCTTTTCTTCACTGGGGTTGTTCTTAACTTCCTGTGTTCAGCACAGGCTGGCTGCTCTTCCTCACAGGCCCCTCAGCCAGCAGAACAGTGGCTGTGACTGGCCCCTTCCTCCCTACCCTCCCATGCTCAAACAGCTGGCCAGAACTCCTGCACTGTCTTTGTCTTCAGTGACAAGCTAGCTACAGCTCGGGTCCTATCTTCCCACACTTAGGCACCACCCCCCATCCCTTTCCTCTTTCTCTCTTTAAAATAAAATCACCACAATTATTTATGTATGCATGCATTATGCATATATGTATGTATGTTTATGCATGAATTATGTATATATGTGTGCATACATTATATATAGATGTATGTGTGTATGCATGCATTATGTATATATGTGTGCATGCATTGTATATATATGTATGTGTGTAAGCATGCATTATGTATATGTGTGTATGCATGCATTATGTATATATGTGTGTATGCATGCATTATATATGTATGTGTACATGCATTATTTATGTATATATGTGTGGATGTGCATGTGCCATTCTGTGCATGTGGAGGTCAGAAGAAACCTTGAAGGATTCTGTTCTTTTCTTCTAGTTTGTGGGTCATGGGGATCAAACAGGTCTCCTGATGTTGTGGAATATTAATTCAACTATGTAAAGGTGTGTTACATTTGTTTATGCTGCATTTGTTTAACAATGCAAAGATGTGTTGCTTTGCCCACTTAAGGCACCTGATTGGTCTAACAAAAAGCTGAACGACAACTAGCTAGGCAGTAGAGGGATAGGCAGGGCTGGTGAGCAGAGAGAATAAGTAGGAGGAGGAATCTAGTCTGGTGTGGGGTGGAAAAGGAGGAGCGAGAACAAGGAAGAAAGAGAGAGAGATGCCTGGGGCCAGCCAACCAGCTGCTGGACAGACAGACATGGAAGAAGCAGTGAAAGTAAGACATACAGAATGAAAGACAGGTAAAATGCTCTGAGGTAAATGTAGATGAAGAGAAACGGGTTAAATTAAGTTATAAGAGCTAGTGGGACAAGCCTAAGCTAAGGCCGAACATTTATAACTAATAATAAGTCTCCATATCTTGCTTTGGGAGCTGGTTGGTGGCCCAGAGAAAGCCTGCTGCACTCTGGCTTGTCACCAAGTGCCTTCACCTTGCTAATGCCCGCCCCCCTTCTCTTTATTATCCACCAGCCTGGACACTTTTTTTCTCTTCTTGCCTGTTAATTATGTTTTTGCCTGCTAAACTTTCTTTTATATGCCTTATAATTTGATCTTTTTTAAATGGTGTTTGAGATTGAACCCAGGGCCCTGTTCATGCTAAACAAATACTCTAACACTAAGCTAAACTCATAGCCTCCTTATGTTTTTTTGTTTTTTGGTTTTCTGAGACAGGGTTTCTCTGTGTGGTTTTGGTGTCTGTCCTGGAGCTCACTCTGTAGACCAGGTTGGCCTCCAACTCACAGAGATCCGAGTTGGTTCTGCCTCCCGAGTGCTGGGATTAAAGGTGTGCGCCACCGCCACCCAGCCTCCTTAAGTTCTTAAAGCTTCGTGTTTAGCAGGTCTGAGGATATTTACGAAGATTCTATGAAGACCATTAGAACAGTTTTCATCTCCCCAAAGAGAAACAATGTATCCACAAATGCTTACTCATCCTGCCCGTAATCCTACGATATCTAAAGTCATTAGTCTAGATTTTGTCTACTGTAGATATTTCATAGGAGTAGGAATCATACGATTTGTGACTCTGTGTGTCTGTTTTAGACAGCATGTGGGTTTTCCAAGTTTGTTCCTGCCTGTTATAGCATTACTGGTCCTTCCTTCCTTCCTGAGTGGATGACACCTTTTTGGAATGTAATGCTTGTTTCTTTTTTTTTTTTTGGGGGGGGGGGTCCAGTCATCATTTGAGAAGCACTTGAAGTACCCCCATTTTTAATATATTGCTGTGAACATTCTTGTGCATGTTTTGTATATACCTCAGCGTCAAATTGCTAGATGATAGGGTAATTCTGTGCTAAATAGTTTGAGATCTGTCAAATGGTTCTCCTTATTGTGTGTTCATGTCCATGCAGGTGCATGTGTATGTGTGGAGGTCATACTTGGGTGTCTTCCTCAGGTGCTATGCACCTTGTTTTTGAGAGCGGGTCTCTTAGAGTGTTCTCAATCTTCCTAATTCTATGACCTTTTAATATAGTACCTCATGTTGTGGTGACCCCCAACCATAAAATTATTTCATTTCATTTATTTCATAGTTATTGCTACTTCATAACTGTAATTTTGCTGCTGTTATGAATCACAATGTAAATATTTTTGGAGATAGAGGTTTGCCAAAGGGGTTGTGACCTCTAGGTTGAGCACCACTGGATTAGGCTAGACTGGCTGGCTGGCCAAGGAGCCAGAGCCGACTGCTTGTTCCTGCTTCCTCAGGCCTGGAATTACACACACATGCCACTGCACCCAGCTTTTTATGTGTGTTCTGTGGATTGAATTCAGCTGGAATTGGCTTATCTGCCCAGCCGTGTAAATCCAAGTTCCAACCGGTTCATTTCCCCACAGATGATGTCTGAGGACTCAACTTTCGCTCTGTCCTCCCGGCACATGCTGTTGTCCATCATTGCCGTGGCCACCCTGGTGGACGCAGAGCCATGTGTGTCTTGCAGGTCCCTTCCTCTGGGCAGCTCTCCTGAGCACCCTGGTTCTCCCTCTCCTGCGCTTCCGTCACACTCTGTGCTTATCCTTGTGACGTCCCTCATCGCGCTGAATTATAATTGTCTGTTAACTTTATCTCCTCTCCCTGGGTGTGAACCTGTTGGAGAGGGCACTAAAATATTTCCTGTGGCATCGCCCACTTTAACACCGTGCCTCACACGGTTATTTTGGTCTCCTTCCTTTTTTCCTTTAGATGGTAGGGGAGCCTGTAGGTCCAGTCCTCACAGACTCCATTTTCAGCACTGGAGCAGCGGAATGACAGTGTTCCTCAGACCCATTCTTCAGCTGGCGTGTCCTTGTTAGCGGGTGGAAACAGAATATCTAGCCTGTGTGTTTGACTTCTAGAAAATCATCTTCTCTTTACTGTTGTGCTGAAACAGTACTGTTTCTAACTTCACCAGATGTTGTGAAGAAGGCCTGGGTGATATTCAAAAGAAAAAGCCATAACCACCATTACTTTGCTTAACTCCCCAGCAGCCTCTCCTTCTCTTCCCCAAATAAGTCCCTTTCTAGTTTCATGTCACACGTACTGGTGTGTGTGTGTGTGTGTGTGTGCGCGCGCGCGTGCCTCCGTGAAACTCAGATTCCACATAAGAAAAGCATGTAATGTTTGTCTTTCTATGTCTGGCTTAATGTCTTTAATATGATGATCTATGATTCCATCCATGTTTTCTTCAAATAACATATGTTTCTGTCTGAATTAAACTCCATTGTAGATATACAGCACATTCTCCTTACGTGCTCATCTGATGATGGACACCCAGGCCATCCTATTTGACTGTGAAAAGCAAGGCTGATTGAGAACACTGTTACGTTTCAAAAATAGTGCCAGTTACACATACTAGACTAAAAAATTTCCAGATGTGGAGGGGAGTCAAGGTCAGTGCCATGAATGAAGTCTGTGGACTTGAGAAATAATGCTGAGTGCAGACACTGTTCTTAAAGTGTCAGGAGACAGATGGGTTAGCATGAGGGCTGGACAGATAGGAATTGGTACTGAAGAACAAAGCTGGATGCTGAATCAAACATAATTAAAGACCTAAAATATGACATTGAATTAGAAAGTGCATCCAACCTCAGATTTGACTCATACTAAATTATAATGTCCTGAGTATAAATATAAATGCAATGACATATTTAAATTAGCTCTTTTGAGTGATTCTCCCCCCAAATATTTGACCTTATAGTCAATATTTGGGTAATTTTTCCCCCTGCTATTTATGATCCTGTAAAGGTTTGTCTTAGAATTTTCCCTACCTAGAATAAAGCTACTAGAGAGCCCTTCCTCACTCTCGAGTGTTCTCAGTGTCTTTTCAGGAGTTTCGCCAGTCTCCTCTTCCTGCTTTTTACATGCTTCTGGAACAGGGAGGAAGTGGGGGAGGGAGAGATGGAGAGAAACAAGTTGAGGGGAGAGAGAGAGAGAGAGAGAGAGAGAGAGAGAGAGAGAGAGAGAGAGAGAGATTGGACGCAGATCAGTGAGAAGACAGGATCAGGCGGGGCCGAGAGGAACCTGGCAGATGCTCTTCTCGTGTTTCGCACTTGAGCACGCCTGTATTGCTGCCTGGAATTCCGCTCGTATTTCTCTCATTCCTGTAAGATTTTTCTTCAGCTTTGGTAACAAACTTCAGCTTTAAAT